GTGGAAAAGCTGTACCGTTGAAGAGCAGTTCCTGTAGCAGTCGGCCAATGTCCTCACGTAACATGAGTCCACCCCTTGGTCGGCGAGCGCTTACAGTATGGCATTAGTCTCGACACTGTCAAACGCTTGCTCATAGTCGACGAAGGTTAGTACAAGAGGTAGGCGGTACTTTCGGCAAACTTAGATAGTCCTCGAAACCGTCTGATGTGATCCACGCAGCTGAATCCCTGGCGAAATCCAGCTTCTAGGTTGGGCGCTATCCAGCGTTCTTGATATGCGAGCGAGAATAATCTTCGTAAAGAGCTTATAAAGCACGCTCAGCAGGCACATTTGACGGTAGTTTCGAAGATCCTCCCTATTACCCTTCTTATGAAGAAGGATTGTTTGGGATGTTCTCCACTGGTCGGGGACCCTTTCCTTTCGAAGGTAGGACGTTAGATGTTCCGCAAGTATCTCGTGTAAGCGTTGTCCTCCAGCTCGTAACAAGTCGACCGAACCATGCCGGTTTCGGAGTCATGATTGCCTTCATGGTCTGAACTGCGGCGCGCAATTCAGCACTAGTATCCTCGGTGGTATTTCTCCAGTGGGAATAATGGGGGTTTGACACGGGTGTTGACGAGCGAAGGAGATTGGTGTAGAATCTCTTCGTGATCGATTCCATCTTTTATCGGGAAGAAGTGCGAATCCCGTCTTTGTTCAGTAATGTTGTCAGCGGAACACGATAGTCGAGAAGATCCCTGCGTAGAATTCTGCTCCCTGTGCTGCTTCTAAAAGTTTTCGTGCTTTCGAAGATCTTCTTGCAAAGCTGTTCTGCTACTGGTATTGGCTACCAGTCGCTCGAGAGTCGGATCCAGCCTCAGTGCTCTTCTCCTCTCTAGCAGATCCTTGGAGGCTGAAATTCGTTCCAAGTTTCTTGTGCGAGGCATTGAGCACTTTCACCACAGTTCTCAGTCCTCCAAGAAGCAGGTCGTAGTCTTTCGTCGTTTCTCTTCGATGGACCAGTCATAAGTGGTCAGGAGCTCCTCCAATCTGACGTCGTCATATGCGACTTCTCTCCTTCCTCTATCACGGTGACAGATCTTATTTTCCAGCTTTCGGTTGAATCGCACTTTTGCTCAAAGGAGGCAGCGATTTGAGCCACTACTGAAGGATGCTTCCACTGAGAAGTCCAGTAGACACCTCTTCGGGTGAGAATGTGGTCGTTCTCCGCATGAGCCGTACCGTTGGGTGACTCCCATGCCCACCGCCGGTGTTCTTTCTTCATAAATGGAGTTGCCATGAAGAAGTCGTGCAGCGGATAAGAGCCCAACAAGACGGTTTTCTCATTCTTGATCCAAATCTCCCGATTCTGTGCCTCCCTTCTTCTTTTGATTTTGGCAGCTGAATAAAGACCTATAGCAGGATGAAAAGAATATATCATACATGGCATTATGGTTCATGTTTCCATCCCGATTTTCGCATTGAAGTCACCCACGACGAACTTATAGAAGGAGGTTTTCTTTGCGGATGACTTCCTCCTAATCCTCATAGAAAGCATCCATTTCCGAATCATCAGCTGCTGATGTTGGAGAATAGCAGTTGGTGATAGTGATGGCTTTTTGATGCGGAGGACAGAGCGAAGGATAGTCACGCGAGGTGATAGGATCTCATGTGAATCGACAAGATGGACAAGAGATGGGTGTACGACAAATCCAACGCCT